TTTCCGCCTTGAAAGCGAGCTTCAGGGCGACTCAGAGGCAGGCTCTGATTTTAGGATCAACCTCCTCGTTAATAGCCAGGCTTCTACGCGAGAGCGACTCTATAACAGTCCAACTCAGGGTGATACGCAACTACCTTTGAGTGCAGCAGTTGCCATCCGAGATCCTGACCTGGGTTATTTCCTTCTATCTGCCACGCCATTCGAGCCCGTAGCTCTGGTATTCGAAGCCCCTGAAGATGACTTCGTGCCCATCCAGTCGATTTCGCCGTCCTTTAACCAAGATGTCGAAGTTCGACCTCTCGAATTTTTCGAACCCCGCCCAGTTTATCAGCCATCTCATGCGTTCGACGAAAGTTCAGCACTCCCGAGCTTCATCGAGCAGCTCCGCACAAGTCGACACAAGACAATTATGAATCAAGAAGTCCGGCTTTCGCCACTTACTCTACAACTACTTACCGAAGCCCACCAGATTCTTAGTGACGAGACACACAGACTTGGCGTAGCTGCTTCCGAAATATTCCGTTGTTGCATCAAGCTCCAGGAAGAACTCAAACAACAAGTCACCAAGGCGAACGAAGTTAAGGCGAGAGTCGAAGCCTTCACAAGCGAAAATCAGGCTGAAGGCGGCGAAGAACAAGGGTCAAGTAATGCCGCACTTGAGAGGCGGCTGCAAAAGGCAAGAGAGAAGGGGGAGGCTCTAAGTCAGCGTTTAGAGAAAATGAGAAAGACTGTCAATAAGGCTACGAATCGAGAGCTTAGCAAGAAAGAGCAAGATTGGGTCAAGGAGGTCAAGGTTCTAGAGGCCGGCATATGCGGAACGACAAACACGCCAGATGGACCAAATAGGGCTAGGCAATACATGGACAGGTTCCAGAAGATAATGGAGCTGAAGGATGAGCTTGCAGAACAAGCACAAGCCCTCGAAGCCCCGGCAGTTGCTGTTGAGGAAGAGGGTAGCCCAAGTCCAGCCAGGGGCGATTTGCGCATTCCATCGGAACTCCGGCGCGCCAAAGTCGGTCAAGTTAAGAATCTTCTAGAGCGAGAGACAGCTTTGATCGAGGCGGTCAAATCAAGACTTGAACGCTTGGCTGTAGTTGGGTAGAAGGCAGGAGCAAACAGACAAGGTCGTTTCACCCGTCCTGGATAGAGAATGTATAACTGTAAAACGTTACTCCGGTTCACGTCAGCGCAAATGCAGGATCCATGGTTGTCAATATCGTCCCAAGGTGGTCAGCGCAGGCGTACCGTCGTAATTTCCTGTCGAACGCCTCGGTTGCGTAGTGGTTCATGTAGGCCCATGTTGACTAAATAAAGAACCTAATATCACGCTCTTTTCTCAATCCCTTGAGACTGTGTGGCGTTGTGCGGCATGCAGTGCGGCCAACAGTGCCAGTCATTTTTGCAGCCTCGCTCTGCTGTGTCATTGGCTTCTTGGTGGCGTCTGGGTAACCCGACTTTCGGTGGGCTCTCTCCAAGGTGCACATCCAGCCGACCATACAACAGTCTAGACCAAGAGGAATACGACGCAACAATCACGTCCTTGTCGTATTAACCATCCAGCTAGGACGTATAGTATATAAACATGAGCCTTCCCAAGGGATACTAAAACCCCGGCGGTGTGGGTGGGAGAATGAGGTTGGACCATACGAAGCTCTCAGGGGTCTTATCAAACCCGGATCCCCCAACCAGCCTGCTCTCGCCTCACTTTTTTACTTTTTCGCAAGCGCTCCGACGTCATCCACCTTACGAGGTAAGCTACGCATATCGGAGGAGGCTAGGGGCCGTGAAACCCGTTTTGTGTGTGTTGCAGGAGCGCGCCGCGGCTTCTCGCCTCTCTCTCTCTCTCACTACGGTATCGCTCGAGCCAATGAATGCCACTGGGCGTGATGCACAGAAGGGAGCGTGGCTGCAGGGAGCCATAGCACCTCGCACCTTGGATTAATATATAAGTAAGATGGACCTCCGAGTGCTCCGATCATGACATTTCAAGGTATCTGTGCCAGCCCAGCTCTGCTCCTCGATGCTAGTCTACCTCCAAGAGCCCCCAAACTTGGCTCTCACCCATCGTCTTCAGCATCTTCAGCACCTCCCAGACACCGCCATGGCCCCTCAATTGTTTCCCCAATCGACTCTCGTCTTCGATAGCCGAGCGCAAATCATAGGTCAGTAGCTTACCTTCCGTCCGTCTGACATAATACCGTGTGCCCTGATCTGATTGGACAATTCCAGATAATTGTGAATTCATCGTCAGCAGAGATGATGAAGTGCTAGTCATCACCAGCAAAGATCCTGCGGAGAAGCTGTTCAAAGCGTACGCAGTACAAGGCAGCGAAGAGGCTCGCGAGGTTCTGCTGGTGTCAGAACCATGTGAGAGCGCCCAAAAGGCAATAGAGTCGCTTCACACAAAGTCGAGTGAAGCAATTCACAACTACATCACGCTCAATGGCTTCTCGAGACCCCGCGATCTTAAGACAGCGTGTCTCGAGACCAATCTAGATGACGATGATGATGCTGGCTCCGTCATCTCCGCGCGCTCAGAGTCGTCGACTGCAGCCGTGTCCGAATGGGGCAGCTCTGGCGATGAGGCCATGGTGCTAAAGCACGCATCGGGGGCCAATGGGAGCTCGAAGGATCGACAGCGTCCTTCTGGCCGCCCGGCTGCTAGTGCGCAAGAGTCAGCAGCGGGAGAGCCGCGTTCGAGGGGGCCAGCTCGAGACGCCTTTGCGCCAGCGCCCCCACGCGTCTACAACGTCCGCCCTGTACGCTCTCGTTCGCCATCGATCCCCTACAGACCGGCGCCACCGCTCCCACCCCCTAGTCACCCTGCACACCCTGGACACCCTGGACATCCTGGCATCAATGGCCCGCCAGCTCCGCCGCCGCCTGCAATGCGAAACATGACCATGCCCCCGCCTCCGCATCCCCATCCATCCGCCATGGCGGCCGTCGGTCCGCACCCCGGTCGTCCGCAGAATACCATGAACCCGGCGATACCTCCTCCCACGCAACGCCTCTCGTATTTTGGTGGCCCCGGGCTCCCCGTAGCCAAACCTATTTTGCAGAGACCTCAGCCGCCTAGCCGACCTTCCAAACCCCCCGGTCACAATGTCAACGACAGTATCAGCGGTAACGCAAGTGGTCATGGAAATCACCCGCCTCGTCCCGTTTCCGTCTTCCATCCCCACGTGCGCACCCATACCGTCCGCATCACGGTGCATTGGCTGCATCACGGCCAGCACCGCATCATAGCTCAGTGTCAGCCGACCCGCGAATCCCTGCAAAGCGCGGCAGTATCAGACGTGCGTTTGAACCCGGGTGCCTTCACCAGCGATAACAGCCACGGCAGCGACAGCAGCAAAAACAAGGATGGTAGTGGAATGACCCTGCGCGCACATGTGCGTCAGGCCGTGTTTGCTGGCGAGCCGTATGACATGCGGACCTTCCACGGCCAAGATCTCACCCGCTTGTTCCACGTCATGGCCGCGGATGACAGCATACCGGCATTCGAGGTCGTCGTCGAGGAACTTCCCCGCGACTTTGATGACAGCGAGGACGATGAGGCGAGGGACCGGGTATCCCCGGCCCTCAGGAGAGGCTCGCCATTTGACTACTAAACCTGGTCTCACTACGTACTTACTCCAGACGAGTTGGTTATGGATTTTTCTTAGAAAAAAGCTTGCAGGTATGCCAGCTGTAACCTATAACTTAGATCACAATACCGGGCAGTACTTGGTTTTCTTTCCCCACACCCCCTTTTATCGGTCGTCTTAACGCTCTCCTACCTACATTTGCACCTAACCCTATAATATGTTCCTTTTAAGTGATACACAGGCTGTGTGCGGGTCTTTTAGCGGATGAGGTGTCTATTTCCATTCTATTGAGCCCTCGTTTTACCCTTTTTTCCATATCTGTATTAGGGCGGGACTCTCTTTGTACAAATTGGACTTTTATCGCAGGCTTTGCTCTTTTCCACCCACTCGCTTACTCTCTCCCTTTCCTTCCACTGGGTAATGCGTGATGCAGGAAAAAAGTATTGGCGCAGATTCCGACCACACTATTTGCCTTACTTGATACAGTAGCATTACTATGCAGTTTGCTTAGTTTGTAATTCAAGTAATTACCACCCAAGTATGCAATTCTTTGCTATGTGCACGTCCGGGATGATACGTAGACGAGAGGCCAGATTTAGAAACTATGTAAGGGGCAATATCAAGGTTTGCCCCTTTTTGGTTTACTTTGCATATCCAAGTCTTAAGAACATGATTCAAACTTTGCCCGGTTCTTGACAGAGCCTTGTGGTACAACTGTAGCTTAAACTAACATGGCAATGCGGGAGTACCCAATATTATCCAATACGACATAAACGCCTTGTTTCTCACAACTCAAATAAATCCTAGTCTAGAGAGGAACCTCCCTCCTTGCTCAGATATAATCATGATTTCCACTATGTTAACTCTATATTTACGTTTCGGTTCCAGTGTTCGCCCTGTTTCTTGGTCTGTAAATGAGGAGGAATACGAAGGAAGTTAGGTGATCGACAGCAGGCGATCCAACAGACAGAAATCCACCACCAGCCAATTTGGTCAAGCTATAATACCACACTACCGTACCAATGCTACAATACAAACAAAGCCGGGATCAGGGGGTTTCAGGGTTTAGATGATTAGAAAAAACAAATAAACACAAGCTTAGTTTTGCTTCACCTTTACATACTTAGTAGTACGTTGCATATAGACTTAGTGTAGCTATTAACTTACTGTTCCCATAAGACCACTTAACCACTTAACCTAGGTAGACTAGGTAGGCCTCCTCGGCTAAATTTCTAGGTTAGGGTAACTCCTCCCACATTTCCGCCTCACCCCCTCTCTTCCTCACCCCCTCTCTTCCTCACCCCCTCTCTTCCTCACCCCCTCTCTTCCTCACCCCCTCTCTTCCCCACCCCTTATCGTCAACACAAGACCAGTGATTGCACGGTAGATTTCAACAATCTACCTCTAACTGCCCGGTTAGCTCAATCGGTAGAGCGTGAGACTCTTAATCTCAAGGTTGCGGGTAAGCATACAGACATCCAACGTAACAATTATCCACGTACTAATCCCTCGGCGCTACAGGTTCGACCCCCGCATCGGGCTCAATTCCTGATGCTTCTCAGATAACACTGGGAACAGCAACCAGCTTTTTTTTTTCTCTTTCTTTTTTTTTTTTTTTTTCTTATTCTCCTTATCTTTTAACTTCTCTCTTTTTATTAGTAGTAGAGCAATAAATCTAGAAGCAAGAATAAAACAGTAGTGTTGAATAAGCAGCTAAATACACAGTCGAATAAGTAAACAATGTAGGAGGCCTAGAGGATAATAATTATACCCTTAATCGAATCAACATCCACCTACACAATAGAACTTCATTGAGGCGATGATGTGCAGGCTCTATCTAGATTTGGTGCAGCCCTGCTAGGTCCATCTATTCGTAGGTCGCAAAGTAGGTTCAAGATAGGTGTGTAGCAGCTCATGGCGTGACGATCCCACATCCACATACCCAACATCCATGTTCCATGTCACATCTAGTGTATGCGAGTTATACCATCGGCGTACATACGCAGTACGCACACTTACACAGAAGACCATGGCAGAAGTGACTTGGAAAAGCCGGATTCGAGAGGGCATGAAAAAAAAGGTTCAAGCACGGGATCAAACTTCCCGTTCGCTGCCAACCAGCCATTTCAACAGAGGGCATAAACCGCGAAAAAATCTGACCATACCATACCGTACGATCATTCCATCCCGACGAAGCCCTGGATGGATTCACGGTCCCGGCCGCGTTGTGTTGTGTGACATTAATTTTACCAGAGCTGGGATGGGGCGTTATTACTAGCTGGCCCTTTTCTCGCCACTGGGGATGATTCCTCATGGGGAAAACCATCATGGTAGTGTAGTGTCGTACTTAGTAGTACTGGGGCTGTGGTGGGACGTGGGAATGTAAGTATACAGGCCGGCCTGGACAGGGCAAGTCGCTGCTCTTGTTTCCCCGCCGCGCTACCGGATAGCATCGTGACATATGATATATGGGCATGGGATGCCTGCCGTGTGAGGGTTGGCGAGGCGGGCACAAAGTAAACAAGCACCGGGTACACGGCGAGGCAAGGGATTGGTTCGCTGCCCGTGTGGGTGTGGTCTTGTACTGCTCCCTGGACGAGCTTCGCGGATTCCTGCATGGAGGGAGGGCCTGTCCTTTTTCCCCTTTCGCTTTTATTCCGCTTGAAGAATGGGTATGTGACACGGAGATATCGTACGACTAAATTCACTACTGAGAACTGTATAGTGGATGCATGGGATCTGCAACTTGCCCGATTGATGTGGTGGATATTATGTTATCTTGGAAAGTGATTGCGCGTCTGTTGGCTATTATTGTATACTAGACCATTACACTACAACACGGACATGGATATGGCCAACTACTTACCGCCTACGTGAGGCGTAGTACGTATCCGTCACATACGCCTAAGCAAAGAGGGTGTACACTACACTAGAGGAGGAAGAGAGAAGGCTACACCAAGTACCGAGATGTCGAAACAGTAAACCAGACTAACAGTCGATGCTGTTGCCTGGTACACCATGTCTCCCTTGCTTCCTCCATGTGACATATTAGTCCGCCTTATTGGTTACCTACAGCGGCACAACTCATTCCACAGCATATGAAAGCATCCGGTTAAGACTGACATATCACCAAAGACGAATTCGATGTGTCAGATCGGGCAGACGCGAGCGAATAGAGCCCGTTCTACTGGGTTTACGGCCAAGTCTCTCTCTCTTTGTTACATGGTGTACGCTTCACTTCAATGCTGATCATGTTCTGTCGTCCGAGAGTCATACCAAGGATAGAGGGGGTATCCCAAGACCCTAATGAACAGGGCGTGAACGAAATCTTGACATTTAGCAGATAAACAAGAGCCGCCAGGTGTAGCACTAGAAGAACTGTGAGACGATTACTCATGATCCAACATGGAGAATGCCGAAAGTCCAAGCCCACCTGCATGAAGCAACCAGGACCAATACCTGAATTTGGTGCTGGGGGCGGTCTAACGTATAACCGCGGTGCGTAACTTAGAATGTGTAACAATTCCGTCACAAAGGTGTCTATGTATATACTATCAGGGCTTAGTAACAGAGGTGTTGAAGTCCCTCATTACTGCCATCGGGGTTATATACGAATACATCTAGTCATTCAAGAAAGGACCTAGCCGTTAGAAGGATCTTTTCTCACTCAAGGGGGGTATCAATCAAATATGCCTCTCAGGAATATACATAGGAAAAAGTCTCGCATTATTAGCTTGTTATAGCAAATCTAGGAAAAAGGCAAGGTTCTGTGAAGTATGAAGTATCTTCCTCCATCTTGAGGGACTCCATATGCTATTATAGAACAAGACGTTGCGTGTGTGTCTCTCTCTACCCCTAATTTTTTGGTGTTTACCCCTTTCCTTCACAACCATGACTGCGATGTTGGACCATTGTCCATCGATGTATCTCATGCTTCCTTCGTGCCGATTGTCAAGGACAGTTTCGCCAGAAGGAAGGCTCTTCGCCTAGGCATGGCCTGTGGCTACTGTGGCTACTGTGGCAGAATATGACGTGATGTAGTGGATTGCCGACTCTCTCTGTCTCTCTCTTTCTTTCCTGGCATCTTGAAGCTTGGTATCGAGCAATTCCAAGCAACCAGTCGTTCTCGGTTTCGCGATGGATATTAGGAAAGAAAGACGCAAAGTAGTTTCGAGAATCGGATGATTAAGTTCGACCGAGCGGTTGAATTCTCGACGTTCGGCTTGCTACAAGACATGTCAGTGGTGTTCCGTTTCTTCCCATGGGAAATATTGGCAGACATACTTGTTCATTATGCACGTTGTTGCAGCATGGGGTTGATTCTCTATGCAATGCTCTTTACCCGCCACCCAGAGACAGGACAGGAGTGAAAAGACGAAGAAGGGAAAAGGAAAAAGAGAGGTGCAGCGAAAGGAAAACGAAAGAAAAGACATGATCTGGTCCTGAGACCTTTGCTAGCCTCCAACGAAAGGAAGAGATTATATAGGAGGCAGCAGCTGCTCTGTGAATGGGCATAGCGCGGTCAATGAACAGAAACGTGATGATCTTTTTTTGGTTGATTTTTCTTTTTCCTTTATTTTTTGTTGGTTTTTCTTTTTTCTTTTCTCTTTTGTAAGACTGTGCGCTTGAGTGAAGTCTAGGAGTAATGGCAATCAGCTCACCACTGCTGTCCATCCCTTTTGGCCGTCGCTTGAATGATGTCTTCCTCTGGAATCTTCATGGATCTCTCCAAGCCACGTCCATAGACGTAGCTGGATGCTGCCTCGATGGCAATCGTCCATGTAGACATAGAAGACCAGTAAGCTCTCTAGTACTGGTGAACAGGAGATCCCGCACCATCGCTACCGCTGATGGGGAAGAGCTCCTCCATGTCGTCGGTCCCATAGATAGACTCGAAAGGAGGTTCTGCTTCCGCTTCGGTACCAGTCATGCCAGTAGACATCGAGTTAGTCATATACAACGGAGACAAAGGTGTGTCACGTGTCTCGACGACGCTGGTATCACCGGGATTTCCACTCTCCTGGGACAGATTGGGAGAGTGATAGCCCTGGCTGATTGGGCTTTTAACCGGGCTACTAAACACCGGTAATGCCAACTGTCCCAGAACGTCAGATCCCCAGGCTGCCAGATCAGTGTCTCGCTCTAAAGGGGACCGAGTAGCAGATAGAGGTGTTCTAGGGCTTGGAACCATCGGAAGAACGCCTTGTCGTAGGGAATCATGGCTAGAACACGATGAGGTGGGTGGTAGTTCAGGTGTAGATGTAGGACTTGGACCATTGTTGAAAGCAAGGCTATTTGGGTGGATACCTCCTTCTGTCTCCGTGTTCGTACGTGTGTTCGAGTATTGGATATTCTCGTGATTAAGGGGAGAAACTTGGTGATCCGGGTGAAAAAGGGCAAGAGCACGCTGACGAATGATTCTGCGCCGGTTCTGGTGACGGAGTCGTTGATCTGACATTGCTGACAGAATAGATCGTTGAGGCGAGTGAGCTCTGTGAGTTTGGCCCGAGACAGATGCTGTATTGACATCCGGAAGATCACGGCCTCGCTGAGCGTATACAGAGTTGGACATCCAACCTCTCCGGGTGCATTTAGACTGTATACAGAGGAATGTGTTAATCGAATCATTCTCTAAGCTTAGCATCGTAGAACTTGTGGTATTACACAAGACATGGTGACCAAGGGACCAGGCACTGGGATTTCTTATACGTACCAGCTGTGCACTCTTTTGGACGGGACCAAGGCGGTAATTGTGTACTGAATATACAGTGTCAGTGCTATTATTTAAGGACTAGATGATAAGAAAGGGGGTATGGATCTGAAGAGAAAAAAAAATATGATCACGATTCACCTTCGAATGCGACCGATTCGTAATATTCGACCAAGTCGTCCCGAGCTAGCGGTTGTTCAGCGATGCTGGTTGCCACTCGACGTTCTACTCGTCGTATCATGGTCCACTTGTAAAAGGCATCATTGAAGTTCAAGCACACGCGCTGGAACGCGGACCGCTTAGTGCGTGTGATTCGAAATGGGGCTGGCTGCCGCTTGATGAGCTCCATGAACGGTTTGTGCTCAATCTCGACGAAGTCTAAGAGCTCCCGGGCGTCGGAAACTGAGATGTTGTACATGTGAGTACGCGTGCCGTGAAGAGCAGTATTCAGCTTCGTGGCGAAGTTTCTAGCACCGGTATCCAAGAGTTCGCTACTCGTGTCCCCAGTGTGAGGTTGCTTCTTAGTTTTCTCTTTGGAGGTTTCTTCGTGCTCGAACCTGCAGATCAAGGAGCACACAGTGTTTAGCTCGAACTGAGACCACTTTCGTACCTTCGGTTCTCGCTCGGGGTCGAAGAGTGATCCAAGGTCGCACTCTCTGAGCGGAGATCTTCCCATAGTCTCGGAAGAATTGGGAGAACTTGCCATGGTGTATTTAAGTGCTGCTAAGGCCTGGTAAATATGTTTGTAAGCGACCAAACATGGAACGTTAAACGATAGTGAAATGCGTCATATACCCTTCCGGGCTGGCTAGTGGTTTGGTGATATCTTCGG